AAGGAGTAGTACTGACAGAACTGAAGCTAGAGCAAAAGAATTTTGAGAATTGAAAGAAAAACATTAAATAATACGAGGAGTGCAGGAGTTCAAACACCTCACTAACAGCATCTACTAATCTAGTATACCACAGAAAAACAATACAAGATACTATAGAGATAAACAACAGTACTCCATCTTCCTACACATCCACCCGAAGATGTAGTGTCACTATAATTAACTCTGGCTATGTGAAATCATGAAGAAATATCATATTAGGGACAACGAGAAATATCTAATTCAGTATTTACTTGTGTTATATTCTGTGTCGTATGAAAGAAAACTAGTGAAACTGAAAAAGAAAAACCCTATTTATTTCATGACATGCAAGTATTCATCAAGTGAAATTTTCAATGACTATATGTTTAAACTGTGACAAAATCCAGACAGTTACTTTATTCAACATAAAATATCACTTTCTCATCCAAACCCCTAGAATCAGTCATGATAGGCTTACAAAGCATTACTCGCATCAAATAATATTGCCATAATAACCCTGGATGTACAGAATTGGTGCCTGCAGAGCCAAGAGAGAGCGGAAATTGCCATCATTGCATAAAGTCAAGTTGGTTATTTGTCAATTGTACAGTTAAACTGGGTTTACAGACATTTAAATGCTTATGATTATCTGTACTGTCCGTGTTTTGTTTTGTTTGTTTTTTACATAAAGGTATAGGCTGTGAACAGAAGTTACATCTATAGTCTTTGGCTACATTTAAAGGTAAAAAAATATATAAAAATCATTAATGTGTGAATATTTTAAATAAATAAATAAAAATATATTATTATATATTATAACATAATTTTAGTTATTTTATGTAGTTATAAATTGCAATAAACACCCCCACTTAAACTAAGGTCATAATTGCTGCAATTAACATTATTATTGCATTATTCCTAATATTTTAACTATGTTTATGAATTGAACCTTATTGTGAAGTAACCACATTTTCTAAAAACCTTTCCTCATATATATATATATATATATATCAATGGATCAGGAGTACTGAGAA